ACTGTTTCATGATGGTTATGTGGAGCCATGTTTGGGTTTGTCACAGGGCAATGGCATCATATTTGTGTTCATAAGAGATCACTATAGCGCTTTGTAGCAAAGAAATTATAGGAAGAGGCTGTTGCAATGACTCATGTAAGAGATGGTGGGGTTTGGGCCACATCAACAGTAATCAGGATGGAGAGAAGATAAAATGAGAAGAGAAATTCAGGAAATTGGAGTAAAATTAATGAAACTTGATGCTCAGAAGATATGGGAGAAAAGGAGAAGGCAAGACTGAGGGTTTAGGTCCCAGTGTGAGCTGGCAGAGGGGATGAGTAGAGGGAGAAAGCTGTCCCAGAGGACTCTTTATACTATCCAGCCAGCAAACATTTTACCGATATCTCTCACCCACCACTGGCATCTCTCTCTTTCTCCTTGTGGATATATATGTTTTAAAACATTCTTATGGTAATTTTTGTGAGGCTCCAGGAAGGAGTCAAGATAAAAACTGTTCAATCTGCCATGGTCAATTTCTGTCTTTTCTCACCTTTAGTTTGATCCATTTTCTCTCACAGAGTCTTATTCATGGCTATCCTAAAAACTGAGTCCAGGAAAAATTCTGAGTGAATGTGGCTCCCCATGGGTCATTAAATCTGTTGTAACTATGTTAACCCACAGTGTTCCTAATCTTATTGGAGCTTAACATGGCCTCAACTTTATTCTATCCCAGCTTACACTTGCCTTTGTTTCTTGTTTGCCATCATGTGTGCTCCTATCCTGGCTGAAGGTGGGTCTTCTCTTTCTCTGGCATCCTTTCCACTGATACTTTGCAGAGATGCAGAGGAAAGTGCTAGTTGGAGGAAAACTCTTCCTGGCTCTGTCTTTGTAGGACTTCCAATCTCTGGTGGCCAGATCAGTGTGACCCACCAGTGGCTCTCGGCTATTGAACGCCACCCAGAGCAGTGCTGGAGCAGGTCTTGGGGTATAGAGGGCTTATTGCATGGATCATGGCTGGGGAAGAAAACACCTTGTCTTCTAGACCCGAAACAGGTTTCTAAAGCCAGAGAGGAGGTGGGGGGCTGGGGATGTGATCACGTGGGCCTGTGTGCCAAGGTGAGGAAGTGAAAGCATTGAGTGAGCATGGGTGAGAGTGTCTGTGACCTTGGGGTGGACAGAGCCGTGGAGGCAGGGCAAGCCTGAGGAACTGTTTACAAGTCATTAACTCTGGGATGGGCTTCCTGCAGAATTACTTGTGGTCACTAGCACTCTCTACCTGCTGTTCACGCTATACTGCTTTGTCACTCTGCTCATCCTCACCTGGATGGCTTTTGACTGGAAGGCCCCTGAGCGAGGTAAGTGTCCTACTGGGACTGTTTTGCTATCTGCCACATGCTCTTTCCTCTTCTCTTCTTATAATCCTGAGCAACTCTGGCCAATTCCCAGGCAGCCCTTCAGCCTGTCCTTCCCTGGGTTAGAGAAGCTGTGGGAAGGGGTCTTTTTAAGGTGCTAGGAAGACCCAGATCAGAACTGTAGTGGGTTAGGGGAGGGGCAGCTAGTAAAGCAGAAATGTAGGCCTGTCCTACACTGGCCCTGACATACTTAGGCTATCCTGGTTGTCATTTAAGAGGCCAGGAAGCAGCAGAGGGTGAGAGTACCTTGCGGCAGGCTCAAAAGAACTCTGAAGAAGACACTTAGGCTGAGCAAACCTTGGCTACATTGGCTCCATTTTCAGGTGGCCACCGGGTTTCCTATGTTAGGCGTTGGAACCTGTGGAGACAGTACTGTAATTACTTCCCACTAAAGGCGAGTAGCCCCAGATCCCCACGTGGGCCCCGGGCTCAGACCAAAGTCCAGGATGGGGGTTAGGGGCATTACTCACATCAAGGCCCGTGAGAATGATGCCCCCTGAAGTAATATGTTACCCAACCTGCATGGAAAGGCATAGCAGTCCTCTTCCCTGGCCATATCCTTCCTGACTCCACTTTCTTCCACGGCTTGTGAAGACTCATGCTATATCCCCCAACCACAACTACATTGTGGTCTACCACCCTCATGGATTCCTGGCCCATTCTTGCTTCGGTAACTTTGGCAGAGATAGATCAGACTTCGGCAAGCTCTTTCCCGGCATCACCCCTTATCTTCTCACACTGGGAGCCTTTTTCTGGCTGTCTTTCTTCAGAGACTATCTCATGTCTGTAGGTGAGTTGGCTCATAGGGCATAAAGCCAAAGCAAGAATGAGGAAGAAGTGTTGGGGGAGTGGGTGAGAGCAAGGCCAACTCTGTGATCCCCTCTGGTCTTAAAAAGCTGTCCCAAGCTCACCTGCCTGATATGAGGTTCTCCCCTCCTTTGAAGAGGTAGGGAGGAAAGCTAGGTTTGGGAACTGGCCATTGACCTTTTGGCTTTTTCTGCCTGCTAGGAGCCTGCTCTGTGAGCTGTTCCTCCATAGACTTTCTGCTTACCCATAAGGGCACAGGCAACATGTTGATTTTGATACCTGGTGGTCTGGCTGAGTGTGAATATAGCATACCAGGCTCTAATACCTTGTTCTTAAAGAAGCGAACTGGCTTTGTGTACAAGGCTCTTCAGCATGGGTAAGGACAGTTCTGCTCCAGACTGGGGAGAGGGGTTCCAAAAGTCGACCAGAGAAGGAGGAAGGGATTTTGAGGAAATTATATCTAAAATTGCAGAGGAAGCTGCTTTTGTGTTAGAGTAAAATCTGGGCTGCTCGGTCCTAAGGCATTTCTACTTATGAAGAAAGGCTAGTGGGCCAGCCCCAAGACTGGTGTCCTTCACACTAGCCTCTCAGCTGGGCCAGTCCCTCTGTGACAGGTGACTGGCTGCCACCTCACCTCAGAGAAAGGTAAAATTACTATGCAGGTCAAAGGAAAGGAGGCTAAATGAAATGTTCCTTAGGTCCTACCTTTCCATGTTTCAGACCGTGAGTTCCTAGGATGGTTGGATCTTGATTCCTTTAGCTTGCTCCTTCATTGCCCCACAGGCAGCGGTAGACCACTTGGCCCTCACACTTGGCCTGGACCTAAGCCCAGCTAAGTTAGGGGTCAAGAAGCCTATAGGAAGACCCAGGGACCACTGGTGGTCAGTAGGTCTGGCTTTCAGCAGAGTCCCTACCTTTCTGGCCATCAAAGTACATGCCTTTCCTCTGTAGGGCAGCTCTAATCCCTACCTATGCCTTTGGGGAGACAGACCTCTACGATCAGCACATTTTCCATCCCGGAGGCTTGGTCAATTGCTTCCAGAAGTTGTTCCGGAGATTGACGCACATCTACCCTTGTGCTTTCTATGGGCGCGGCTTCACTGAGAACTCCTGGGGTTTGTTACCCTATGCTCGGCCTGTAACCACCGTTGGTGAGTGAGCCCTTCTGCTGGCAGCCTTGTCTAGGATATAGATCCAGTTTTGAGGCTGAACCTTGGCTTTGGCTGTGTCCAGAGGCAAGGAGGCTGACCAGTATGAATGATGAGGTGGGGGTAAGGATGGGAAGAAGCTGGACCTCAGGCCTGAAGCCCATCCTAAGGAGTAGCTGTTGTCTCTTTTCCTTCTCTGTCTGCTCTGGCAGTTAGGAAGCCCATATTTGTGCCCAAGATTGAACAGCCAAGCAAGGATATCGTGGCTCAATACCACACACTCTATATTGATGCCCTGAGGAAACTGTTTGACGAGCACAAGACCAAGTATGGCATGTCAGAAACTCAGGAGCTGGTGATAAATTGACAGACATCCCCAGCAGCCTCTCATCCTGGCCGTACGTTGTGGAACTGGTGAAATGGGACAGACGTTACCTACATGGGTCCTGCTCCTGATTTGGCTGGTCCTCGATGTGAGGAGGAGCTGTCCATTTGGTTGTTTTCTTCCTCCTTCATGTCTCTCTTCCTTCCATCTCTTCTCTGCCTTTTCCTTGGGGACACGAGAGAGGTGGCCCCAAAAGGCAGGGAAGTCCTTGGGGAGAGGTGCCCTTTAGGGTCCCTTGCATATGCCCACTCATTAGCATTGAGGAAAACAATGAACAGAATAAAGAGCTTATCTTCTGATACTACTTGTGCTCCCCACGCACCTCTCCTTCTTTAGATCTTAAGCAGTCCGACCTTCTAGTATGAAGACTCCTGCAGGACTGGGTGCCTTGAAATCCAGTGGACTTTGAGTTCAGGTTCCACTGCCTTCAACCCTTGTGATTTGCAGCGGTCAGTCAGTTCTGAGCCTCAGTTTCCTCATCTGTAAAATGGAACTAATGAGCCCTCCTCTGCTTACCTCAAAGGCTGTTGTGAAGATCAAATGGTATCGAATGTGATTGAACTTTGTAAATTGGGAGAGCTGTACAAAATTATTCGTCCATAATCATTTTGCCCATTTCCTGTCCCTGAGCAAACAATGCCCTAAATTTCATGGCATCTCAATGTTTACAAGTAAGTTTACAGAGTACAGCCTTGTCAACAGTCCTTTGAAAGTCTAAGCAACCTTTCTAATTGGGTGACCCTGGGTGAACTATTTAGTCTTTGAACATTGGTCCTACCATCTGCAAACTTGGGTGACACATCATAGGGAGGTAGAGGCTGTTTTTGCCCTGGGCCTGAAATCTCTGTCATAGATGCCAGAGTCTCAAGCTGAGGGTGCAGTTATAGGAAAAGACCTACAGTGATGGAGGTGGTTCTGTGTGGTCTTGGGCACAGAGAGGAGGTGGGATGTTCTGACAGCAAATTCAGACTATTTATTTTCCTTCCTTCCATTGCCCCCCTCTGAGATGGGTGTCTTGGTCTTTCCCCTAGCTCATGTATGGCATCCCTTGCAAAGAAGCATCTAGCATGCAGTAAGTGCTCAAGCTGATTTCAACAACAGAGAGAAAAAAAAGCTTTATTTGCAAAGAATAAACCATTAATTTACACAAACTTACATCCCAGTTTATATACAGTATGTATAGTTTATATACACAGCATCTCACACTGGGTGCTGACCCCCAAAGCAGCACTGGGCCTGCTCCAGGCCATTCTCATGACAAAGCCCACCCCCCCAGCTGAAAGCTTTTTGAATAAAGAAATGATACACCCCAACTCCCCTTGGAGAGAGCCCTGAAACATATTAAAAGAAAAAATCCAGCTCCTTCTTTGTGCTCACATGGTCTAGAGGAGCCTCCAGGCAGGACCAGGGGAGGCCATGCCAGGGCAGCCTCAGGACTTCCTAGTGTTAGGATAGTCCAGAGCCTTCCAGTCTAGAGGCAGGAGTTGGGAGAATGCCTTAAAGGGAGGAAGACTTCTGATAAAAGCTGTAGCTACTCTCTCCTTGTGTGGCCAGGTTCCTGAAGGGGGCCGAGTGGGACAGGTACAGCTTGACCCTGTCACTCTGTTGAGTGCAAGTCATGGCTTGTTCACTTTGGGTAGGCCACCCTCCCTTTCTGGGCCTCAGTTTCCACATGAGTAAAATGGGATACAATGCAGATTGGGCTAGATTCTCTCTAAGGGTCTTTCTAGCTCTAATTTTCTCTATTTGCATCCACCAGAAGATACATAAAACACGTACTCATACATGGATCAAAGTCTTTTCCACCTGAAGGGTTTCTAGCCCTTTCCTGCTCAGAAAAAAAATCTGGCTCAGGATTAATGAAGGGGATATAAGGCAAAGATTACATTTTCCAAGGAGCCAGGGACTGAGCAGCCCTGACGGCTACCTTTTGTGCCAGCTTTGGCTGATGAATTCCAAGCAGCTGGCAAAGGATTCTGCTATGCATTTCTCCTTCAAACTTGTCATCTGCTTGCTTACCAATGTCCTTGTCCCATTCTCCATGCTAGCCTTAGCCCTCTGGTAAAGTCACATCAACATATTTCCAAATGGTAAATCTATTTCCACATTCTCTTATTAGTAAGTTGCTTCACTACTTTGGCAATAACTTGGCTGCAACAGGGCTCCCCAGCTACCTATGGTTTCCATCATGAAGCCCTCCCTCTAGGGTGCCTTTTGAGGCTTCAAAATGCATAAAAGGTCCTGTGCGAATCTTATTTCCTGTCTAATCCCCTCCACATTAGGAGACTAGGCTGGGTATCAGAATGTCCTTTAGGGGCACAATTATGAAGCCTTGTCCTTCCATTTGCTCACAGCATTTTGGCTTTAGGAACAGTCCTTGCTCTTTCCTCCATCCCTGAGCAATCCTGGGGTACCAAGATCTCAGTGGTATGGTGGAAAGAGATATGGAGTCACTTAGTAGCTGTGTGAAGTTGGCCAGCTCCTGTAACCCAACTGCAGAGCAACCAAAGGAAGACCTTACTTGCAATTGGTTTGTTGGGTGGGTGAAAGAATACGAGTGATATCATTTCTGTGGGTGCTAAAGCCCACTGTTTGGACATGGTGCCAAGATGATTCTTCTGAACACAAGAACCAGCTCTGAGGCTGATGGCTGTTTCCCAAAGAAACGTTCTACTCTTTTGCCACAGAGCCCCTTGCAGCCAAGAGAACAGGAATTATCACCAAGGGATGAAAATGAGCATCTCTGCATGCCTCCCTAGGACCCTCAAGGATTTGGGGTCCATATCACCACTTTCATTGCTTCTTTCTGGATCCCAAATTCAACACAACACTGCAGTGCAATGGAATGATTTTTGAGTCAGACCTGGCTAAATGAAGTCCCAGGCGTGTGAGTTAAGCTGGGTAAGATACTAGTCAAAGCACTTAACCTCTCTGAGCCTCATCTAGACAATGGGATTTGTAATATTATCAAAGAAAATAATAAGAGAGAAAGTACTTTCCAAACTTTAAGGAGAAATTCTCACCTGTTCCCGCTATAACTTAGGACTAAGGCACTTTAAAGGAGCCAGGGCCAGACACGTGCCTAAAATTTGCCTCCCTGGGGGTGCAAGGCTATTATTAGAAACCAGACAATGGCACCACAGCCTACCACCTCCTGTCCTGACACTTGAAGGGCTAAGCAGTGTAGTTGCTTAGAAAGGGAAAGCACAGCAGAGAAATGAGTACCTGTTGCTCTTGGTACATTTCAGCTGCCTAAAGAGACTTATTCCCCATCTCCTCGAGAAGAGCAAGAGTAGCAGGCTGTAGAAGATCAGCCCTCTCAGCTATGGGCTGGACACAACAACCAGGAGTCAGGCTGGGCCCAGGCAGTTAGAAATAAGGCCCTTGAATCGTCCCACCATATGACCTGGTGGGAAGCTTGGGGAAGTGGGGACATGTCTTTGCACCAGACTAGAAGGCAGAACCCTCCCAACGCCTAGATGCTGGCTTCTCTTGAGCCTTAATTCAGGGGAACAGCACCAGAATCCATGGTGACTGCTTTTCTGTGGCTTTCTGAAGCCAGAATGAAGAAAAGAAGGCTGAGTGGGGCATCAGCTGCTGTCCTTTCAGCTAAGGTCTGGGCTAATGACCACTTGGCTTGTAGCAAACTTGATAAAAACCCTGTCCTATCTCCACCTCTCATCCCTTCCAAGTCAGGTAGAAAAGCTGTACCTCGCTGATGCCCAAGGGCAGGCTAGGGTTTGGGAGTTTTAGTAGGCCATTAAGGTAGCTGCCTGAAGATTAGGATTTGAAGGGACTTCTGCAGGTCATCCATTCCAACACTTTATTTACCCCAGACACAACATGACTAGATGAATATTTGTGTTGCTTAATAAATGGAAAATTCTCTTTGTGCCCAGGTAATCTAAAGAGTACCCCAAACCCACATAAGCACAGGTACCAGGTTAGGCACTTGTCTCAGACAGAGGTAGGCTCTGTGGAGAAAGAAGACGAGTTCTAGTCAGGTTGGGAAGGGGGGCAATCAAGAGGGGACCCAGGGAGTTTTCTGAGCCTGAAGCGCAGTTGTAAACAAAATGAAATACATGTGACCCCAAGTCTGGCTTCAGGTTTGTATACAGGAAGGTTTGTGGCCATTCCTTGCAATCACTCCAAGGAAGAGCACACCGCCTGTCCCCAAAGCTTGGTGAGCTGCCACGACATGGCTCTCAGCCTGAGTGGGAAAAGCACTGTGGCCCACTGGCTGGCTGCATGCAGCGCAGGGCAGTGACGATAATTCCACTGCCGGGCAGCTTTCTCCCCTGGTCTCTACCCCTCCCCACCCCTGTCCCCAGCCCCACCTGAGAGGAGCAGCAGCCCTCTTGGAATCAGCAGTTGTCCCCACAGTCTTGACTGCACCTCTGTTTTTTCTCACCTGCTGCCCTGGACCCTCGCTTTAGTGCAACAAACAATAACTGACAACGGGGATCTTGAGGTTGAAGACTGTATGCCAGTCGACATGGACCCAAGTAAGAAGGTTCTGCTTCATGTAAACCCTGGGGCTCCATCGACTGTCCTGTTAACTCAAAGTCATTCTGGAAAGGCAAGCAGGCCTCGTCATCCTGGTGTCACTAGGGAATAAATAGCAGTGGGGCATTTGTCTCTGCAGCTGCAACACCCATATACCTCACTCCACAGCAGCTCTTAGATGTTCCAGGAGTCCCAGCTCCCAAACCTGGGGCAAGGGCAAAGGCAGGGGCAAGACGGGGGAATCTACGATGCGGGGGCCTCGCCCAGCCTAATGGCCCCAAAGAAGGTGGTGTGCTTGCTCATGTTGATGGAGATGTCAGCGTGCACCATCTTCACGGCGATCTTCTGCCTGGCTTTGAGGAGGCAGACGCCTGCGGTGTAACAGGTGTTGTAGTTGGTCTTGCCCGTCTCGATGCTGCGCGTACACTGCAGAAAGGGCCTCTCATCCACCACCACCTCGTAGCTGGCGAAGTCCGTGAAGTTGATGTAGTACACCTGAGCGAGAGGTGGCATGGAGGGTTTGGGGGAGCGTGGCACTAGAGGGGGACCTCCCCGCAATGGACAGATGGGCCTCCACAGATGAGCTGCCAGTACACCTTGGGAAGGGGCAGTGCCACCGGCAGGTATGCTAGTTAGCTGACAGGAAAGGAGGGGTGACAGGCTTATACACTGTCCTTCTCCGACCCCATGGGGCCCGATCGGCTGAGAAAATCTTTCCTTCGTCAGCATAGCAGCTGTAAACTGCGAGGGCAATAACCATGCCTTGTTTGCCTCTATCCCTTCCCCATCACCGCTGTCCCCTCTGGTGGGAAGCACACTGCTCTGCACAAAGCAGGTACTCAATCAGTGCAACATACACAAAGGAATATAGACTAACTTCCAGCTTCAGGCCCCAAGGACTATTTGTAGATAAACTGAGAAGTCACTGATTTCCCAGAGAGGGGAAAGTGACAACTTGCCATTCCTTCAGCTCTTTAATGGTGGCCGCTCACTCAGCTTGCAGCCTCCCCACCACCCCCCTACGGTGGCTGGTTTCCGCTCACTGATTCTCAGTGTCCCTCGACCCTCTCATCTGATGATTGAGGAAACAGATCCACAGAGATAGAGAGCTATCCACCACAAATGAGAAAGAATTTGGAAGGGCAAAACCGAGGTGCCTAACTGTACTTTGTGGCCAGAAGGAACTGCTCAGCTATGTTCAATGGCCTGCTGTCACGGAAATTTTCCCAGCATACATGGTGTCAAGACCCTGAGGCCACTCCCAAGTCTCTCGTAGGCCCAGAAAATTAATTTTTTATCCTTCACTACTCTTACCTGTCACATCCCGCCCTGAGCTTGATCACTCCCTCCCCTGACAATGGAGTTTAGGACAAATGGCCCATAGGACATTGAGATTACACCCATGTGCACCCTGGGGATTGGGACCCTCATCTCTCACCCTAAATCACTTTCATAAAGCTTGTTCCCTCCATGAGCTCTTCAGGAGGGAGCACTGCATTCAGACAATACCCAATTTCTTGGATCAGGACCTGATCCGTGCCAAGATGCTTGGCGGGCGTAGCAAATGCTCGTTAGCCTACCTTCTCTGGCCACTGTCCTGTGAGGCCCTTCTGCTGGCTCCATCACCCATCCACCCGCCTGCCTGCTGCCTTCCTCATGGAAGCCCCAACTTCAAGGCTAATCTACCTCTATCTCTGAGGAGCCACCCAGTGGGGCTAAGTGACAGGGGTGAAAGTGGATGGGCACTTGCAGACCTGGGGAGTGGGCCCTGGGTGGGACTAGGACAAATGCAGAGGGAGAACGATGCCAGGAAGGAGGCAAGAATAACAGAAACAGAAAGGTAGAGAAACAAACAGCAGAAAGAGGAAGGAAAGACAGTCAGAAATCCTTTGAGGTGGAGTTTCCTGACAAAGCTAGGCCGTGGGGGGAAGGGGTTCTCAGCACTCCTGGAACTGACTTTCAAAGAACTTACCGAGACAGACTTCAAGTTTGGCAGTAGAACCAGACAGCTTAGCAAGGGAAGCAAGGCGTTGGGGCCCTGAGGGAGGGAATCAGATGGCAGGGCGTGGGAGGGGCCTCTTTTCAGTTTTTCAATGATATCTGGCTAGGAAAAAAACAAACAGCCCCCCTCTCTGTTTCCTGCTTTCAAGGCCTTCCAGGTGTGGTGCCTCCAGCCCCCTCACCCGCCAAAGCAGGAAGTTAGCCATTGGCTAGTCTTGGCTGGCTCCACAGTGCCCTTATGTGGCCTGCACCGGATCTGCATTCTGGATATAAGAAGAGTTAGGCCTAAGACCGTACTCACTTCTACCTGACTATAGATGAAGTAGGTGCCGTCCACCAGTACCTCCAGCTCCCCGCTGCGGGGATGTAGCTTAAACACCTTGGGGTTCATAGTGATGCGAGACCAGTCATTGAGCACTCCACCTGAAAGATCTCAGTATGAGAGAAGGGCAGTCACTCAATACATGTCAGAATAATCTGGGCGGTAGAAACAAGAAATATCAATCAGCACACAAATCCCACCCCTGTCGCAATACAACCTGGGTAGTCCAGAACGGCAAGCTTTAACAGTGGCATTTGGAAGCAGAAAAAGCGCTCTGTTTGTAAAGTGGCTGCCAAGCTGGCCTTAGGGCCCTGGCTCTCTTCCTCTCTCCTTTCCTGATCTTTCCATCTGGAAGGGTCTTTAACCAACCCCTTCTAGCTTGAACCTGGGAGTGTGGAGTGGGAAGAAAGTGGGCACACTGACCTATTTTCTTTGTTGTTCTGAGGCCTGCACAGGCAAAATTCAGACACTGAGTGGCAGGCTAGGTCTTATTATTCCATTTTATTTCACTAGCCGTAACTCCTGGATCTCTCTCCTATCTTATATGTTCATGGATTTTCTCCTTCTTAAGAGATTCTGCCATGCCCACTCCTTTCTGGAAAGTCTCCCAGAGCCCCCAGGAAACCACATAGCTCAAGGAATTGCCTTCCTGGAGAACCTTAGGGATGAGGGGTAAGTCAGACTCCATGCCAGTCAGACTTCATGCCAGCATATGAGGGTAGAGGAAAGGCTCCCCTTTCCATCCTACAGAAAGTGGGGTACCATCCCACACAAGAACCGAGAGGCTCAGCCCTGGGGGACTTCTCTGTAGAAAATGGCCATTCTTCACCCAAGAAATTATGGTGTGAACATCCATCCTTGGCTAGTCTCAGGAGGCTTGCCTCTCTGAGGAAAGCAGCCTTCTGGAAGAGCTGGCCATCTTCCCTTGAGATGATAAGTGGATGGGGAGGATTTAGGAGAAGATGCCCAGCTCAGCCACTTCAAAACTGCTCTGCATGACATCCTCCTGTCCCTGGCCCCTCGCTTCTGCTCCTAGCGGAACCACAGACCAGCAGAGATGACCACTGGGGATGGGCCTAGACGGGTGGGAACCAGTCTTGTGATGTGGTAATGCAAGTAAAACCGGTAGCTTCTGGCACAGAGTAAACACTGAGGCTACCATCCACACACTCGAACAAATCTATTTCCTGCCTGTCTAACTCCTTCATGGATAGGTGGAGATCACAGCCCACCCAGGGCCCTGGGATCCAGGGCACTTGGCACCAACAGGACCACTTGGTTTTAGTGCCATTCTGTTTCTATTTATATTTCTGAGGCTGTTAAGTCAGGTATCCATGGTACAGCTAAGCCAGATCATCAAGGAAGCTCAGCCTAGCCAGTGCAGGGCTGACCAGGATCTTTAAAGCCATCCCCATGTGGCAGCTTTCTTAACCTTCATTGACTGTACCTGCGCTCATGGCCCTCTCCTTCCCCTCCAAGCTCTGTAAGCGGCTGGCATCTTGGCTGGCTTGCTGCCTCCCAAGGCTCTTGGGGAGTTTATGCATTTTACGCTTTGTGCACCCTGGGGACTGGACATTATTTCAAAATGCTGTTCGTTAATGAATGTTCACATCTCTTTGAGGAAAAAAATAAACGTAACCATTCAGTGGAGTATACACACACAACACTGAAGTAGCATAGTGCAGTATAAAGAGTCAGGCAGCTGTAGCTTTGAATCCCACCTCCCACACTTAACTGAGGTCTTGGGCCAGTTAGTTAAGCTCTCTGAGCTTCAGCGTCTGTCTCTGTAAGAAGGAGCTAATACCTACCTCACAGGGATGTCGTGAGGATCAAATAAAATAAAAGACAAAGAAAGCATGTTGAAAACTCTAAAGTACCACGCAAATATTAGGCAAGATGATTTATTTCAGTGTTATCCAATCTCTTTTTAATGTGGGGATTACATTAAGTCAGTGTTTCTTAACCTCCTTAAACCTGTTCCCCCTTTTTGTAGACACTAGCATCACATGCCCCGCCCCAGAGAGAAACGCTTGACCTATCAGACAAGAATTTAAATTCATGTACTTTTACCTTCTCTAATTGGTATTGTGAACATGTTGATCAAACTACACATTCTCATGGTGACTCGGAAACAACTTCCATCTCCCAAGAATTCCCAGTCTACATGAAATCTCAAGTCTCTTTTAGCTTCCTCATCAGCGTTTCTAATTGCCATTTGGGTGCAGCAACTGGTCTTGGTGCAAGCAATTACCCAGGACAGTCAACAGAGGGCAAAATGGAGTAGAGCATGACCCCCAGTGCCAAGGGTGCCTCTGGGGAACCGGGAAGGGGGCTGGGTGGTTATTTGGAAGCTCCTCTTAGTGAGAGCGCCTGCTTTGACTCTTACCATTCTTGACTTGGATCGCTGACCCCTGGCCCTGTAGATGCACCACAGCTGGCTGGCAGGATGAGAAGGATAGAGAGAGGGGTCATTGTGAGAAATACTGCTTGCCCAGGCACCAGGATCCATGTTTCAACCTCCGACTTCTAGTCCCCTTTTGTATCCTAATTCTGCCCCTCTCCCCTGTCTTGGGATGCTGGTGATCACATAACTAGTAGATAGTAACATGATTTTGTGGCTCGGCCACTTCCCAGCTATGTGACCTGAGCTGAATGTAACACTTCTGAGCCTCGTTTCCCTAACTGTACAGTGGAGATTATAAGAATCTCTGTCTGGCCTCTCTCACAGGGAGGTTTGAAGATCAAATGAGGTGATGGAGGCAAAAGTGTCCTGCCAGCCATCAAGAACCTTGCGGCTGTGTAGGTTTAGCTGTGGCCAAACAGCTGTAATGAGGGAAGTTGAGATGAGAGGAGGTAAGGCAGCAGAATGTGCCGACAGAGACAGACTAGAAAGCTCAGAGACTAGGGAGGAGCCCTTCTGGCCATTAAGGCAGGAGCCCAGGCTGGGCCTGGCCTGGAGCTGGTTGGCTGATTTTTAAGGACACACTCTTAAACTTCTATGCTCCTGATCCCAGGCGGTCTGAGTGCCAATAACATGTCTGAGGTGGCTGGGAAGTCCGAGGCCCAGGTGAATGGGCCTGTCTGGCAGCTCATTTAAGCTGACTACCGAGCTTGGGTATGGTGACATTCTGTCTCCTGTGGAATGGGGAAATGGCTGCGGCACGATTCAGTTCTCTTAGCTAAGGGTAGACCCTGGGGCAAAGCTTTTCTACTCAGAAGTGAGAGGGGACTGTGAGTGAATAACCTCAGGACCTCCAGGGTATCCCCACAGGATACAGCCTCAGTAAATTTAATAGGAAGCAAACTCCAAGGTGGCTCTAGCTTGTGGCCTTCCCTCCTCCCCAGGAAGAAAGCAATTCCCAGCCAACCTGGTTTTCTCGGGTTCCAGCTTTATCAGCAGCACCTGAAAAATAGGACAGGTCAATTAGAGGTCATGCTTTCTCTACTTCCGTTTCTCCTCACCTAGGCAGGCAGTGGCAGGGAGCCTTGCTCCCTGTGGCCAAGCCCTGGGATATGAGAGGACACCCCTTCCTTCTCTTACCAGTCCCTGACCTGCATCTTCAGTGGGCCGGGCACCCAGCAGGGAAATTGCTGGCCCAAGGCAAGCCCTACTGAGCACCCACAGAGCCAGATGACAGAGCTGTCCTGTCCCCGTGTGACTCTGGGACAATGCTGTTTGATCTTGCTTTTTTAATTGTCTGTCTCCTCTTCTAGGATATGAACTCCATGAGAACAGGGACCAGTTATCAATAGATCTCCTACATATAGAAAGTGCTCAATATTTGTGGAAAGATTGGAAAAAACCCCAAGTCCATGTCTTGCACACACGGTAACGCTGATTAGTCCTGTTTGAACTGAGTCGAAGAAGCTGAGTCTTGCTGCAGAATTCTTGGATCTAGAGAAATCAGCTATGAAAAGTCTGTTTCTTTAATGCCCCAAGATATAAAAGGGGCGCAGGAGAAGGAAATAACAGCTGATGAAAGCCTAGGCTGTCTGACTTTTGTCAGGTTTGGAACTGCATCTGTATCTCCTGGATGCCCTTCTGGGCCCAAAGGGAAAGGTGCAAAGAGAGTAAATGCTATTTGAATGCACAATGCAGGGGGCAAGGAGCATTTGGTTCCTCAACAGGACAACCTTGGTGCATGGGTTTGTTTCTACCACAGCCTGAGTGACTACTAAGTCTTCAACTCCTTGACCATCAGCGACTACTTGTCGACCTCTATGAGAAGGGCATTTCAGAGTTCAAGGGATGAGACTGCCCTAGAGTTGGTTATTTTGTCCAGTCCTCAACATTCTTCCCCATAGCCTGTTTCTTAATCAGCTTGTGGAGCTAGATGCTGGGAATTAGAGTAACCCCATCCATTTCTTACCAGAACTCCAGCCAACCCTCATGGCCTCTATCTCAGGCTCATATGTATTTACTGGTCCACTACAGGGAGGCGTAGAATAAGGGAGAGTTTGTGACAGAAGCATTGAACAGGTCAGGCCCTACTGGCTTGTTTGATCCTTAGCTCTACACTGAGCTAGGAGACCTGCATTTCTCATTGCATACCAATGTCACCAGTGCCATCTGAATCTGCTCTTGGGATCACCCACGCTTGCTCTATTAGAGTAAGGACAAGGAGCCTGGGAGGTGGGGAATTAGGAACTCACCAGAAGGTCCCTGGAGGCCAGGAGGTCCTTGAGGACCGGGAGGACCTGGAGGTCCGGGTGGTCCCATAACAGTTGTTCCTGGAATTCCAGGAATCCCTGGAATTCCTGGGGGCCCCTGGGGTCCTGGAGGTCCTGGAGGTCCTGGGGGGCCATTGGGCCCAGGAGGTCCTGCCTTCTTTCCTGAAAGGACAAGATCCAGTGTTATAGT